ATATCTTAAAGTGTGTCAGATATGTGCTCCACCCTGTATACTAGTTAAAATATCTTATCGACCCAATTATTTTTGATTGTTATTAATACAATTTCGCCAGAAGGTATTGTGTTACCGATAGAGAAACACGTAGAAAAAAAAACTGATTCCAATTGATGTAGTCGGCGTAAAAGTTCAGCCAAACGTAACAATTACCAAACTATAGAAGAAAGAAGAATAAGAACCGAGCTAAAAGAAGAGAAAAAAAACGTATTCATGTAATTATCGTGACAAATCATATGATTGCGCATTGCACGAAACCTCGCTGTAATTGAACATTATTTTTCTGTATTTATGTAAGTCCATCTTTTTTTGTGTCTTGACTATGATGTATACATATTGTTCTCTTTTATTTTTAATAATAACGCTAGTAATAATGTGATATAATGTAAAATCGGACATCATATACAGGGTGCTACAAATTCGAGGTACGAGCATTGGTATCTCGGTAACTGTAATAGATAAGAACATGATTAAATTGGGACGAAGATGCGCTTTGGGATTTTTCACCAAGATGCCATCAAAAAAGTTTTAAAAATTTGAAGGATTAGTTAATATTGAACATGGGTCACCTTTAAAAGCAAATTACTCTTTTATTTTAAATGTAACACCCAGTATATTATTCCGATTTTAAATTCACGTCTCTTTTAAATACTATTAAAGTTGCCTATACCCTTTTCAAACAAAGATTTTGCCCGGATATTTTCATTTCTATGATTTAGGATCAGAAGATCTTTATTATTTGATAAAATCTAGGACGGCTGTAATATGCCTCACGTTGCTGCCAAAATCATTTTGTGAGGGGCGTTTGACAATATACCTCACAAGGTGGTCAAGCGATCTCTTGAAACAAGAGGGGTGAACAGTACGATAATTCGCTGGTTTTGGGAAATGCTCTCAACACAAACAGCAGAGGCTGAGATAGGTACCAAAACTGTAGTTGTTAAAACAACGCAAGGAACTCCACAAGGTGGAGTGACCTCCCCCCTACTGTGGAGCTTGGTAGTGGATGAACTACTGGAAGAATTAACTCTAGCGGGAATACACTGCATAGGGTACGCAGATGACATAGTCATCATTGCACAGGGGAAACATGAAGGCACCCTGTGTGATATTATCCAAAGAGGATTCCGCATCGCTGAGAGATGGTGCAGGACTGTCGGGCTGAGTATTAACTCAGATAAAACCGCAGTAGTGCCATTCACCAGAAAGCGAAGTTTGAAAAACTTGAAAAGAATCCATCTAGATGGAAAGGAAATACTGCCATCACAGGAAGTGAAATATCTGGGAATAACCCTGGATAGTAAACTTCTCTGGAACAGGCATATTAAGAACATTACCAGCAAAGCCACAAAGGCTCTCATGATATGCAGAAGACTGGCGGGAAATAGGTGGGGCTGCGCCCCTAACATTTTGCGCTGGATGTATACCATGATAGTAAGACCCATGATTACTTATGGAGCAGTTGCTTGGTATACAAAACTAGAGCAACGTACAGCAAGGCAAACCCTGTGCAAAGTACAGAGACTGGCATGTATCTGCATCACAGGTGCCATGAGAACATGTCCAACAGCAGCAATGGAGGTCATTCTAGACCTAACACCACTGCATATTGTCGTCGGTAGTTATGCCAATGCGACAATGATTAGAATGGTCATTGACGGAAACAGTACTGGGAGAATTTTCAGGTCAGGGGCTTGGAACACCCTCAAAAAGAAAATTCCACTTCTCCAACTCCCAGTGGATGACATACCAAGAATTTACAACTTTGAGAAACACCTCACTGTAGTATTGAGTAATAAAAAGGATTGGAAGAAAGAAACGCTTACTCAGCATATAAAAGACCATACCATCACGTGGTATACTGATGCTTCCAAAACCAAAGCAGGGACAGGGATAGGAGTATTTGGGCCGAAAACTGAATACTCCGAACCAATGGGCACCTACCCCAGTATCCTTCAGGCAGAAATTTGCGCTATCGAAAGATGCGTACAATTTATCTTGGATAGGAACTATCGAAAACAGGAAATTGCCATCCTATCCGATAGTCAAGCAGCACTTAACGCGATCAACTCAGTAACCATCAATTCGAAGTTGGTCAAAGAATGCCTAGAGAAGCTCAACAAATTAGGCAAAGAAAATAAAGTCCTCCTACTCTGGGTGCCTGCTCACCAAGGGATAGAAAGCAATGAAAAAGCAAATGATCTAGCTAGAAAAGGAGCGAACACTCCACTAACTGGACCAGAACCGTTTTGTTCTCCAAACGGGAACCAACTGAAAGCGGAACTGAAGAATCTGGAAGACTCCATCCGTAACTTGGAATGGGTGTAAAAAAAGTTCCTTAGAACTTATGACCGAGAAAAATCAAAGGTTTTCCTTGATTTAAGTAAAAACAATCTTCGGATTGTCACGGGGTTTCTAACAGGACACTGTCTCCTCAACGAACACCTCAGTAAACTGAAACTGAGAAACAACGGCGAATGCAGATTTTGTGGGGAAAATGGGGAAACACCAGAACACCTTATCACTGAGTGCGCCGAGACGACGACCATTCGTGCCATGAACCTTGATACGTCTGATGTCGAGGATGGAGAGCTGGCCTCTGTGGAGCCGTCTCAGATACTGGCTTTTTTTAAAGCCCTGAGACTGTATGATGAGTTATAACTCGGTATAACTCAAGAAAGGGGAACACACAATAGATCTATAAGGTCGCGGTGATTAACTCCCCTCCTAAACATAAAACAAAACAGAAAATCAGAGATTTGCCGAAAATGGAAGAGCTATCCTACATCAGAGAGAACTGATATAATTCTTTTAATTGGGACTGCAGTGTGCATTCACCAATTAATAAAATGCTTTAATGCTCCTGATTTTTCTTAGTCTGGACTTTTTTGTGGGGATATGTTAAAGACAGTGTTTACAAAACACGTCCAACTACTGTGGACAACATGAAAGAAATGATTGTGGCTGCTTTTCGAAGTAGAACTCCACGTATGCCTCTTAACATAAAAAAATCTTTTGAAAGGAGAATCGTTTTATACAGTGACCAGAGGAAAGGGAGCATTTTAAACGTTTGATTTCATCTAGCTAATTTTAGGCTTATTTTTTTAATTAGTTAGTGCTATTTTTTCGATATTTTGATAGTTATTTTATTTGGGGCCTATTTGGGCTATATTATCATATTTATTTATTTTTCTCAGAAACCTTAAAAAATTATTTAATAAGTTTTTTTATGAATTTCAAATGTTAATAACTTGTTTAGAATGAAAATTAAAAAATAACTTCAATTACTGCTAATTACATATTTCAAATTGCATAGTAAGTACGTGATTTTCTCGGTATTTTTAAACCTTATATACATAAATTAATTATGTACACTCATTTATTATTAATTTAAATTAAAAATAGTTTTTTAAAAACAAAAACTTTATAATAAAAAGTAAGTTTTGGTTAAAAACGAGTATTTTTAGTATTCGTAACTCAATAAAATAAAATGAAATTCTTTGTTTATAAAACTTGAACAGCTGGTTAATAATATTGTTTCTTGAAATTTTTGTTTATTAATATGGTGTATTTTAATTTTAATTATTATTAATTAGACTTAGACATAATAATTAACCACGTAGGTAATATAAAATTTTCAGGATGTTATTTATATCGATAGAGAATATAAATATAAATATATTTAGATTGTGTTGTTTATAAAAAAAATATTATGTTATTAGAACTACCTATATCTATTTTATTTTTTAAGCAGGTTGTCCTGTGGTTTTCTTATGAGACTAGAGCCCTTCAAGTACTTTAAAAAAAGTACAAAACAAGATTTAATTTTTTGTTAAGTATATTTTTTTATTGTCCTTAATAGTCATTGCTTCTAAAAATATTTTTGAAGCCACTAAAGTGTTGTTTTTTTTTCATATATTTATCTAGATTAATTTTTACAAATAAATATTTTTTTAAGAAAAAATAATTAAGGGATTTTAATACTTATTTGGATTTTTTATGAATTATAATACAGGGTGAGTCTCAAATAAGTGCAAATATTTTCAGGGGTGGTAGATCTCGATAAAAGAAACATATTTTCCCAAAATAACCGAGTTATTTTACTTTGAAAATTTCCAAAAAAAAAAAAATTTGCTTAAATTTTGAGAACCACTGGATCTTTTCTTGGTCTACTTTCTTCTAAATTTAATATATTACCTATGTTGCCATATTATTAAGAAATTATGGTTTTTAACTAAAAACTAAAAGTTTCCAAAACAATTTTCACAAGATTCCATTTTTTTGCGAAAAACCTCATAATCGTGTTTCTGGGGTCGAAATATACTACCCTATGTATATATTTTATATACTATATCTAGTATATAAAATATATTATACAGTATGTCCCCGGATTGTCTTTAGAAGAGGAAAAACTTTTTTATTATTAAAATTTTAGAAAAATGCATTGTTTATAAAAAATTTTGCTTGCTCTAAAATGGTTAATTACGTTTATATTTTTCCAAATTTCCATAATATTTTAGAGAAAATTAAAAAAAAACATGAAAATATTGTTGAATTTTTTTCTAAAAATCAAAAGGCGTTTCTGTAATAATACAGGGTGTCCCAGAAATAAGTGCAAGTATTTTAAGGGATGGTAGATCTCGATATAAGAAACATATTTTCTCTTTATCGTTTTTCAAATAAGTCGTCCAAAATAACAGAGTAATTTTACTTTGAAAATTTCCAAAAAAAATGATTTTTTCATACAATTTTGAGAACCACTGGATCTTTTCTGGATTTTCTTTCTTGTAAATTTAATCTACTACCTATGTTGCCATATTATCAAGAAATTATTTTTTTTAAATAAAAACTAAAAAAAATTCCAAAAAACAAGCAAGAATTTTTATAAAAATAAAATATTTTCCTCTTGTTGGGGACATACTGCATTTTTGAAAATCTAAGATTAAAAATAAAGTTACCTTAACAGTGGTGTTTGGGTACTGCGACACGTTCAACCAAAATTGAGTTTCCTCCACAAAAATGTTCTTGAATTGATCCATTTCTTCTCCAGAAAAATTCAAATCACAGAACACAGCCAAAATAATTTTTTGGTACTACTTTTTTCGAACGAAACCAAATACAAAAAAAAATTATTTTTCTTAACAGAAAAATTGAATTAATATAAGAGATGGTGACATACTATGGGTACGACCAATCTCTAGAGCGCGACAGTACCGGACTGATATGAATATTTTTCCGTTTTGCGCGGATTTGCCGCAACTTTTGTAAACGGTATCCGTTTCGGGGTACAACAGAAGTACCCTACCGCTCTCTCACTCTGCCTCGCGGTATTCTAGGTATATGGCCTAGCGTGTAGTACCTTTCTCTGTTTGGACTCTTTCTATTTTAAGGAAAAAAGAATAGCTTGTCGCCGGTTTCTTGCTAGGTGGTACGGGTAAAATACCAATTAAAAGTCGTACCCGTTGGGTCTATAAATTGACGTAATACTATTAATTGATTTTTTTTTGATGTGGTGTTTATAGTTTTGAAATATTATGTCTTAATTTTTTGCGCGGAGATGGTACTCTCTTAAAGGACATTTTTTTTGGTACTAATATAATTATTCTTGTTTGGATAATATATAATTATTCTTGTTTTGAAAAGGACCTTCTTTGAGGTTGCCTAATGTGACATTTTGCTAAAAAATATACAGTGTGTCCCAATATTCCGTGGACAAAGAGCTACTACTAATTTATTTTATATTGGGCAATTATTGTCCGTTGATAAATAAATAAAATAAGTTCAATGGACACAATTATTTACCTCTATACAAAAGTGCTTCGTTTCTCCGCTAGAGGGCATCAAACTTAAAAATACACACATTTTTAGCCGACCATACCAATAGGTGTCGTAGATTAATTCTGTCTGTCTGTCTGTCTGTCTGTCTGTCTGTCTGTCTGTCTGTCTGTCTGTCTGTCTGTCTGTCTGTCTGTCTGTCTGTCTGTCTGTCTGTCTGTCTGTCTGTCTGTCTGTCTGTTCGTCTGCCTGTCTGTCTGTCTGTTCGTCTGTCGTCTGTCTGTCTCGTCTGTTCGTGTCTGTCTGTCTGTCTGTCTGTCTGTCTCGTCTGTCTGTCTGTCTGTTCGTCTGTCTGTTCGTCTGTCTGTTCGTCTGTCTGTTCGTCTGTCTGTCTGTCTGTCTGTCTGTCTGTCTGTTCGTCTGTCTGTCTGTCTGTTCGTTCGTCTGTCTGTCTGTCTGTCTGTCTGTCTGTCCGTCTGTTCGTCTGTCTGTCTGTCTGTCTGTCTGTTCGTCTGTCTGTCTGTTCGTTCGTTCGTCTGTTCGTCTGTCTGTCTGTCTGTCTGTCTGTCTGTCTGTTCGTCTGTTCGTCTGTTCTGTTCGTCTGTCTGTCTGTCTGTCTGTCTGTCTGTCTGTCTGCCCGTTCCGGTCTGGGCCCGTCTGTCTGTCTGTCTGTCTGTCTGTTCGTCTGTCTGTCTGTCTGTCTGTTCGTCTGTTCGTCTTCGTCTGTCTGCTCCGTCTCGTCTGTCTCCGTCTGTCTGTCTGTCTGCCCGTTCTGTCTGTCTGTCTGTCTGTTCTGTTCGTCTGTCTGTCTGTCTGTCTGTCTGTCTGTCTGTCTGTCTGTCTGTCTGTCTGTCTGTTCGTTCGTCTGTCTGTCTGTTCGTCTGTCTGTCTGTCTGTCTGTCTGTCTGTTCGTCTGTCTGTCTGTCTGCTCCGTCTGTTCGTCTGTCTGTCTGTTCGTCTGTCTGTCTGTCTGTCTGTTGGTCCGTCCGTCCGTCCGTCCGTCCGTCCGTCCGTCCGTCCGTCCGTCCGTCCGTCCGTCCGTCCGTCCGTCCGTCCGTCCGTCCGTCCGTCTGTCTGTCTGTCTGTCTGTCTGTCTGTCTGTCTGTCTGTCTGTCTGTCTGCCTTTTATGAAGCTTATCGTCAAATTTGTGAGACTAACATAAAATTCCATATTTTCTCCAACTAAATTATTACAGGATAATAGATTTTAGGCGTGAGACAAAAAACATTTTTTGGAAGTCAGCTTTGGAAAAATCACTTTTTTCCTCAAAAAGTATGCAAGGTGGCGATTTTTTACAAGAGACAAAAAATGTAGGAAATACTACAGGGACGGTGGATTAGAAAAATATTTATACTAATTTATATAGGGGTGGGGGTAGTTTCCACCCTTCCTGTACTTTTTCTTCATTTTTGTGAAAATCAAATGTTAGAGCACTTATCAAAACATAGACACCCAAATTCTCATTCAAATCGGAATAACGGTTCTTAATATATCTGAAAAAATGTGTTTTGGTGCCCTCTAGCGGACAAACGAAGCACTTTTGTAATAAATTGTGTCCAATGAACTTATTTTGATTGCAAAAATAGGTAGTAGTTCTATGTCCACGGAATATTTGGGACACCCTGTATATACAATGTCCTTTGCAGCAAGTATGTTTGATTAGTACTATTGGTTTATGTAATACTAGAAGGTTATTGTATCTTCTAAGCAAAGCATTACTCTTATAATAGATGATCCCAAGATGCTAAATGAGAATTTAATCAAGCGTCATGGTAACCTATTGTATTGTGAAAATTATACTAGAATATGTAGGTGGCGCCCTCAAGTAGGAGTCATATTGATATCGAAATCAAATTTCTCATGGCAAAAAACTCCCAGACACCAATTTTCATCAAAATATTGACGTTACTTCATAAATTATTTGGAAAAAATCGAAATAAAAATGAAATTTCTACACCCTGTATCTCCGAAACTAAGCATTTTAGGACATACATTTATAGGAATTTGTTACTTATTTTTATCTGTAGAATATGGAGCCGAAGTTTCCGAAATACAGTTAGGACAACCCTGTATAACTACTATAACTAGATTGCATTTTATTTAAAATCTGCAACATTATTTATTTAATAAAATTAATAATTCAATTAAAACGGCATTTTTTTGGTATAGGTTTTTGTTATAAAATGTTTGTTACTTTGTACTTTTATTCTTCATACTTTTTGCACCTTATTTTCTTTTATAAGGTCGGGGACATCTTTCATTAACTTTAATTACAATCAATTATTTTTTGTTTAGAGTCTATAATTACAGCGAGGCATTATTATTGAAATTGCAAAATTAAAATAATTGAATTTGTTTTTCTACAGTTATTTAAAATAGGGTAAAAGGTATATACAGAATAAAAATAAAGACTTATTAAATAATATTCATCACTGTGTCTTAAATAACAGTTATTATAAATAACTGTTATTTAAGACACAAATTTTTTGAATACAATATAATAAAAACAAGCTATAAAAACTTGCAATTCCTTAAATGACATTTTTAACATAATTTTGTACTGCCGATGACTGTAGTGACCATCGAAGTATAAAAAAAAGAAGCGGACTTAGCAATTATTACGAAAAATATTATTCTTTTTATTACTGTAGATAGTTAATTTTGCTGTTGCTCAAGCTGAATGGCCTTTAGCCTAAGGAATCTCTTCCATTCAGGGTTATATTAGTATTTATTAAACACTACGTAAATACCTAAATATCAAACAGGTTTCTCAGTTGTATCGAAGAAAAAAACGACGTCACGATAGGCGTGGAAATAGTATTTCTGTTTGAGCTCTTATCCGAAATCCGACAAAGAATGCCTAGATCAGGTGAACAAATTAGACAAATCTATACTAATGTATAAAATCCTTAAGTGACTGACATACTGATTAATCACGATCCTGCTCAAACCACTCAACGTAAGAAGCTCAATTTTGGCATACAGGTTGATTCTAGGGTGTAGAGGTTCGATAAGAAGGGATTTTTCCGAAATTCCAGTTCCAAGAGGGTGAAACCACCCCTCAAATATTACAATATTTTTTATGTAAAAAACGGTCAAGTTTCCGAAAAAACGCTTAAACACGTATATTTTATTTTGTTTTTTTACAAATTTTAAGATTTTTTAAAAATGTATACAGGGTGTTTCGAAAAATCTGGTCATTGATTAATTACGATCCTGCTTAAAGCGCTTGACGTAAAAAGCTGATTTTTGGAAAACGGATTGACTTTAGGGTGTAGAGGTTCGATAAGAAGGGATTTTTCGAATCTCACATTCCAAGAGGGTGAAAACGCCCCTCAAATATTACAATATATGTTATTTAAAAACGGTTAGTCTCGGGAAAACGCTTGGACAAGCATAATTTATTTGTTTTTTACATATTTTGAAATTTTTTAAAAAATCATACAGGGTGTTTCAAAAGTTGGGTAATTTCTTAACCACGATTCTGCTTAAACTGCTTGACGTAAAAAGCTTATTTTTGGCAAACGGATTTTTCGAAAGTCATATTCCAACGAGATGAAACTACCCCGCAAATATTACCAAGTTATATAATAATATCGCCATATTGTTTTTTCTCATGCTGACATAAATGTGAGAAAATTTTATTCAGTTTGTATGTTAATGGAAATTCTTGCTTTGCTTTATCATCACCATTACAAATGATTAATTCGACGCGAACGAAGTCGCTGGTACACGCTAGTAAAATATAAAAAAGTCCTCCTACTCTGGGTGCCTAACCTAAACAGTATAAACAGTGCTGTTTAGTGTAGTATTAGAAAAAAGTTATAAAAGATGCGGGAATCAACAAAGAGTATACAAAGAGGCCTTCTGTATACAAAAGACACCAATGCTTAGCATTCGCAGATGATTTAGTTATCTTGGCAAGAGATCGGAAAGAGCTGATCATCATCATCATGATCATCATGTAGCCATCGTTGTCCACTGCTGAACGTAGGCCTCCTCCATATTTCTCCATGTCTCTCGATTTTGGGCCGTCATCATCCAATTTCCAGCAATCCTCTTTACATCATCGGTCCAGCGTGTCGGTGGTCTGCTACGTTTATCTGCTCGAGGTCGCCATTCTAACAATCTTCTAGTCCACCTGTCTTTAGATGTTCTCGCCACATGACCTGCCCATCTCCATTTCATTCGAGTTACGTGTTCCACTATGTCTTTAATTTTGGTTTTTTGTCTGATAGTGTTATTAGGAATTTTGTCTCTTTTAGTTATTCCAAGCATGACTCTCTCCATGGCTCTCTGGGCTACTCTTAAATTTTCTGCTGACTTTTTCGTTAATGTTAGAGTTTCCGCTCCATGTGTAATTACCGGCAAGACGCATTGTTCATAAACTTCCCTCTTCAAGCATATGGGTATATCACTTTTAAAGGTCTCCCGCAGGTTGCCTAAAGCAGCCCAACCCAAACCTATTCTGCGCTGTATCTCGTGTGTTTGGTTTGGTTTGGTCTTTCCGATTTGTATTTCGTGCCCGAGATATTTGTATATATGTGTTTCTTTTATGTCGACGTCACCTATTCTGATGTTCTGT